ATCTCTATCTCTATCTCTATCTCTATCTCTATCTCTATCTCTATCTCAAAAGTAAAAATAAATATTTAAGAAAAAAGAAGAAAACAGCAAGGTGAAAATTAGAAAAGAAAAACCACTAAAATAGACTCGAGAGGCCAGAAGGGGGAGCTCTCATGCCTAACGCTTGTGGTCAATTGCAGACCCAAAAGGAAAGATATACCTTGCAAGGCCTTTGGACTTTAGCTGCTACTTTTGTATCCCAGCAGAAGGAATAAAGCTTTTCCTTTTCCCCTGGCAACAGCCCAATCACTGAGAGACTCTCAACTCAGCCAATGAAAAGTCACTATACTCCCAGTTTACTCCAATAAGCTTTTTGTTTATAACAGCCCTTCCAAATTTTTCCTTTCCTCTACAAGAGTGCTTCTCTCCTTTGTTCCCCAGATTTGCCTATGGTTTTGCTATAGCTTGTTTGTTCTGAATTGCATTTCTTTTCTATTGCCACACATAAACTAATTTTTTGCTGGTAAAATAACTGGCAGATTTGTTTTTAAGGTTAACATTAACTGTAGGTAACCATGTAAAAGCTTCAGTGCTTAACAGTGAGGAGGCTGGGGGAAGTTCAAGGTTAGATGTTCTCAGGCTAGGACAGAGGCAGAGTCAAAGCCAAAGAAGAAAAACATCACGGTAAAAAGTTTAATATTGGGTGCTGGGGGGAGAAATAATGAGTAAAGTTCCAGAGTAGAAGGGAAGGTTTAGATTTAGAAAAAAAATGAATGAGAAAAACAATAAAACACGGGACTTTTCACAATAAAATAGTCAAAGTGATGTGCTAAAAGAATGCGTGGGAATTTTGAGGTACATAGAGGAAAAGTTTGGAAAATTGACTCTGTTAAGTTACTTGGGTTAAGTAAGAATCTCTGTGAGAGATTCTTTAAGCAGAATTGAGCATGCTTAGCCAGTGCCGTGGAATTTTAAACAGAACCACTTCATTCAACCCTAAATTTTGTCTTTTGGACACAGGGAGAATCCAGAAAGTGAGTAAATAAAGCTTTGGCTTTTAATTAACCATGCCAACAGTGCCCAGTGAGATTAATTAGTCTTTCAAATTAAAATGAAATGTGCATTTTTGGTATTTATCTAAGCAAAGTTATCTTTCTGGAGGAGAAGAGATGTCAAATAGTCTGTTATCTGTGTGGACCAGATTCACAGGTAAAGTTTGGCGTGTTGTTTTTTAACTGAAATGCTTGCACATTTCGAAGCTAAAATGACTTCATGGGTGGGTGTTTTCTAAAACAGGTCTTTTCTAAGCCAGGGTTCAGGATGGATTCTGTTTCCTTTAATAAAAACATGTAGTCAGAATGTACAGAATGTTTTCTGTAAAGCAGTAAACACCTTACCTAGCAGATCCTAGATAAACTCTGAAGAAACAGACTGCTTAATAATATTTAGTTGTTTGGAGAAGCCCCAAGAGTGTTCTCCTGGTAAAGTCACATAAAATGAAGTTGAACCAAGTTATTGAATGGTTATAGGACATCATGGGGATTAATTCTTTACGCCCACAACGAATATCTGGGAACACTGTAATGGTACAACTCTTTGAAACATTTGAGTTTTTATTCTGAGCTTCTTAAGCACAATGCATCAGTCTCTGCTGCCAAGAATTTTGCTTTCAGTTCCCCACCCCTCATTAACACCTGCTCTCCAGTGTAGGCAGGCAACAACGGAAAAGGGTGAACTATGATCTGTTCCTCCTCTTGCTCTACTTTATAGCATGAAGAAAAGGTTTTGTGTGGAACAAGGTTAAATTAAAGGTTTTAACAAGATTCAGACATTCCTTTTCCTATGCCTGAATGTCCTATGCTAACCTGAGGAGTTTTTTTTTTTTTCGATATATGAAGTTTGTTGTCAAATTGGTTTAGATACAACACCCAGTGCTCATCCCAAAAGGTGCCCTCCTCAATACCCAAACCCCCATCAACCCTCAGTTTGTCCTCAGTTTTTTTTTTTTAATTTTTTTTTCAACGTTTATTTATTTTTG